TAACGTAAGCAAAAATAATATTTGTAGAAGATACAAAATTAATAAGAAATTTTAAAATAAGTTTGAAACTATATATTAGTATTTAAAAAAATATTAATTAATAAATTAAAAAACATAAATTAATAAATATATTTATTAAACATATTATTAACAAGTCATATATTCGAATTGGGATAAATGCTTCAAAAAAAAATTTACTATTTTAAAATATTTAAATCAATTTTTATAATAATTTTTGTGTTGGAACAAAATTAGTATATTGACTTATTTAAAATGTTATAAAACGTTTTAGTCATTTTGTCATTCAAAATACTTAACTAATACAATAATTAATTACATTTACGTGGTAATATCATACCGTTAATCATATAACACTAATTGAAAAAAATTTCAAAATTAAATTTTTTGTTTCAATAGAAAATTACTACGAGTGTGGATCTCAACATTTTAAAATAGTACATAAAGTTTTAAAAAATTTATTCCGATTCAAATATATAACTTGTTAATGATATGTTTAATGAATATATTTATTAATTTTATGTTTTTTAATTTATTAATTAATATTTTTTAAAAATACTAATATATAGTTTCACATTTATACTTTTATATGTATAATTTATTTATTAATTAATAGAAAACTATTTTTAATATTTTATTTTAATTTATCAAAAACTAAAAATAAATTATACTTTTATTTTTTTGGATTTGATCATGCTTTATAAAAGAAATAAAATAATATGTTATAAGAAAAATAATCAATAATGGCATTATTAATAAGTTCATCAAATTATACAATACAAATAAAATAATAAAAAATTTGTATTTTCATTCATTAGTTTATTGTGTAATCAATAATATAATAAATTTACAATTAAAATATTTGTGTCTTTTAAAAAAATTATGAATTTAAATCTTATTGAGAATATAAAATTTATTATTTTATAATATATTATTAATTGATAATAATTAATTTATAATATTTAATTTAATAAATCTGCATTTTCTTTAATTAAAAAAAGTTTATTGTATAATATTCTCCTTGTATCATTAACACCAATCATAAGATCCATTCATATCATTATATACTAAAACATTACCTAAGCACTTACGTTAGAATTCTATCCTCTCTTATCCTTTCTATGAGAGTTTTCACTAATACATGAAGATAGATCCAAGAGACCGGCCATGTCAGTAGAGCTAAGCAGATGTGTCCAAATGCTGCAAATATCCCCTGGCCCTCTTTTGTGCATATATATATATATATATATACAGTAATTCTGTGAAGGAGATGTATATGGGAGGCAGTGCTTAAACATGGCGGAAGAAGTGAAGCTCTTGAGGACATGGTCAAGCCCATTTGGTTTAAGGGCGGTGTGGGCACTGAAACTCAAAGGCATAGAGTATGAAACAATAGAAGAAGATCTCTCCAACAAAAGTCCTCTTCTTCTTCAATCAAATCCTGTTTACAAGAAGATCCCTGTCCTCATTCACAATGGCAAACCACTGTGTGAATCACTTGTCATCATCGAGTACATTGACGAGACATGGAAGCAGTATCCTCTGCTGCCCCAAGATCCTCATGACAGAGCAAAGGCACGCTTCTGGGCAAAATTTGGAGAGGATAAGG